ATTTTAAATGTTTCTGTTAAAATAATAAAAGTAAAATTGGAACTGAAGATAAGTCTTCGGTATCGCACACCATATGGTTTAGTTTTACCCATTCAAATTTAGTTGTGTGGATTATTAACCCTCTCTTAGACATGTGCTTTAGTGTATTTCAAATCCTGCCTTACTCATGGCTCTCAGTGAATGTGATGCCATCACTCTTCTGCTCTTGGCTCTGGAAGACTTCCTGGAGTCTTCCCAGCTCCTTGGCAAATGATTCTGAGGCATCAGGACGCAAAACTAGTCAGTTAGTGTTTTATTTGGGTGCCTGGCATCCCCTGCTGGATGCTGGGCAGTCCCCCGCCCCAAGAAATTATGGAGGTTGGGCCATGTGACACACGGGCACCCATGGATGTGAAAGGATTTATGACTCACAGCAGTTAGCAGCGAACGGATCACCCAAGCAGGATGGCTCTGGTTTGTTCTGGAGTGGAACAGAGGCAAGGCAGGGCTTTGGGGGGTTTTATTACAGTTAGGAGGTGAGCCGGGTGGAGGTTCTCATGCTGAGGCTGGGGCTTGCATGGTTTGAAATTTTAGTGCCAAGGGACTGAGGATGCCAGAGCCTGAGGGTGTGAACAGTCCTTCTTATCAGGTTGCCCGGATATGGAGCAAAGGTGAAAAGAGAGGACTTTGGACATGAAAGCTGCCAGCAGTATTTCTCTTTATTACACTTGGCTTACCTACAAAATGATTTTATGAGACATTTATTAAGTATATTAACACATATCTTCATGTGAACCTATTTACATTATTTTACCTTTGAAGAAATCATTGGTAAACAGAGATACAAGAGAAATAAAGTCCAGGTTTCTGACTCACTGATACATTGGTTTTCTGCTGTATTCCAGACAGACTTCCAAATCCTTGCAGAGAAGTGTGTCTGGGATAGATGTGTTTAATTGTTTATCTTAAATCACTCAGGCTTCAAGGGTCTGTGGCCTAAAAAGCACAGAAGTGTTTTCCACACGTGAACCTTTGAAAATGTGTTTGCAGTAAATTGTTCCAAACATACGCCTAGTGTCCCCATGTGTCTTAACATCACTGTGCATTTTGTATGATCTTGGATTTCACAAGAGGTGCTCTCATTGGAGAATCAGTACTTTAGCTTCTCAAAGTCTCACTTCTCACCCAGTTTCACTCTCCGTTTCCTGAAAAATAATCAGGCAAATAAACGACCCAACCCTGTGACCTTTGCACATTTAATGTGCACGTATTAAAATGCCTTCCTCCATTGAGTTCCAAAGAACGGTCTGTTCTCATGCACTGTGATAGTTGTCTTCTCACCAGAGGTGTTCACTGCTCCACGTCTTCAGAAGATGTTTCCAAAAGAACTGTGAGATGGCATTATAGTTAAAAAGAGTGCTTTCGACTCAAGATCCTAATGAAAGATTTTTTAAAAGGAAGAAAATTAAAATTAATTTGGAAAAAATTAAGATATCAATATGTATATACGTATGTAATGTGTTTCAAAAGAAGTTGTATTCTTGATGATGGGATGAGGTTGCTAGAATTATATAGAAACAGAAATGAAAAGAGTGTGGCACTGGAAAAAAGTGTCTGTATCAGTGAAATAGAATAGAGAGCCCCCAAATAGGTCCGCTTTTGTCTGCAGTGGTTTAATGTATGATAAAGTGATCATCACAACATAGTGCTCTTTAAGATGTTTTAAAAAATATTTTATTTGGAATTAATTTCCAAATTACAGAAAAATTGTAAGCTTAAGGATAATCAAAACAGTATTCTGGGGGAGGGTATAGTGGTAGAGTGCATGCCTTGCATGCACAAGGTCCTGGGTTCAATCTCCAGTACCTCCATTTAAATAAATAAAAAATAAGTAAACCTAATTACCACCACCCCAAAAGACTATCCACATACCCCTCACTCAGACACACCAGTTGTTGACATCTTACCCCACTGGCTCCATCATTTGCTTTCTCTGTATCAGGTTTTCTCAGCCTCGATACGATTGACACTTGGGACCAGATAATTCTTTGTTTTGGGGGCCTGACCTGTGCACTGTAGGGTGTTCAGCAGCATCCCTGGCCTCCATCCACCAGGCAGCAGGAGCCCTCACTCCCCAGAATGTCTCAGACATAAGCAAATGGCTTCTTGTGGGGCAGATCAACCCTGGTTGAGAAGCACTCTTTTATTATGAGTGTGGTATTTGTTTT